GCTGACCGGGTTCCGTCTGCCGGGGGAAGCTCCGTCTTTAACTATTCCGCTCACGTCCAGCTCCGGTGGTTCAGCAGCAGCCAGCTGTGGAAACTGGGTCACAGATTTAAAGGCACATGCAGCCCAGATTCACCGCCTCACGTTCTGCAGCAGCCGTCGGAGAACCAGACCTTCGTTGTCGTGTTCTCTGCCGGGGATCATCGGTCCGCTGGGTCCGGCTTCATTCTTCCACACGATTCCCCCAAGAATCACAAAAACACTTCAGACATTCTACCCAAAGACGACTTTATGCTCGATGTCCTGGAGCTGCTGCAGACATCACAGCTTCACTGAGAGACAACACGCTGATGCTTTAATGTTTACAACACTGGAAAACAACAACAACAAAAACAACAAAAACTGTAACAGGAAAGAACTGAAAGAAAACGGCAGGAATCTATAGAATAATCGTATTTTTATCTGATTTAAACACAATAAAACTGTAATTTTATGGTCACGCAGTGGAACGGTGAAGCTCACCATTTATAAATATACTGATTTGTTTTTGGTTTATATTAACTGTAATCAGACAAAACAAGTCAAACCTGTAAAATCATAATAAACTGTTATTTACCATTATTTAGCCTTTAATATACAAACAGACACGTCTCTGTGGTTATCAGCTGGGATTCACCAAAACAGGATTAATCTGTGAAATAGCAGTTAAAATCTGTTTTATTATTAATTATGAAGTCCTTAATATGCATAATTTTCTGTCAAATAACAGCAAACATGTGTAAAATAATGATTTATTTTGATGATTTAAATACCGTCAGTGGATTGACATGATTTATAATATCTATAAGAATAAAACTATTACTTTTACTATCAACAGGACCGACCTTTGGGTTGTTTTTATGGATTCTGTTGTGCATTTTGTTCTCATGTTATTTTATTTTAATGCTTCTTTTATGCTCCTGTGTTCACGTCAGGGTTTTTATTATTTTATTGCCTTTTTGTTGAGTCGCACTCTGCAGGAGTCCATTTCAGCTTTTATCTTATACAGAAATCTCAAGATTAGAACTATTAAATCAAATTAAAACTGCCTCCTGTCTGGACTCGTCGTGCACGCTGCCTGTGGGCTCGGCTTCGCTTTCTGCCTGGCAACAGCGTACAGTAGGCCACTGGGTCCATCTGGGGCTCGGCGGGCTGCAGGAAGGCTACTCATGCAAACACTGAGCAATAATGTCAGCGCCTGACGGGCTCGTTACAGAATCAGACAGCGTGCAGGATGTCCTACTAAAGCGCACTGTAAACCAGCAGCTCGGTGCTCGCTCACGTGCACACGGCTCATCTGAATAATGTGCACGAACGCCGACACACAAACAGGCAGCATGAATATGTGAAGAGCCTGTGGGGAGGAAAACCCTGCTGGCGTTCCTGCACACGTTACTCTCAGCTGGTTGCCTTCATGCTCCCAAAACAGACAGAATATTAAAATGAACCCAGTTTGTTTATTAGAGAGGTGGGTGTGCTGACAGCTGATTGGTTCAGGTGAACCCACCTGAGCGTCTCGGTGAGAAAAAGTCGTCGTCTGCCAAAATCTGATCGCCTTCCGCCGGATTAATGAACCTTCTGTCTCAATTATTTCTCTTACAGCGAAACAGGTCTTCAGACTGTATAAAAAAGATTGAAGGGAATTTTTATGAAACGATTTATTGGAAGTGAATGTTTTGACCAGTTTTTGTCTGTAATTTTAAAAAAAGAATATATAATACTACAGAGTTTCTCGCTTTGTCAGAACAAATTTAAAATAGAAGCACAAAATAAAACATTTTAATTTCCACGATAACCATTAAAATAATAATAATAATAATAATAATAATAATAACAATAATAATATATATATATATATATATTTTTTTTAAAGGCCCAAAGTGTGAATAACATCCACATTTAAAATCTGTATTTTTATAGATGGTAATTCCTGTTTTGTTTTTTCTAAAAATTATTTTGTAGTGGTTGAGTGTAAAATAACACTGTCTTATACAATATTTAAATGAGAAAAACCCCCAATATTTTACAGATAATTGCTGTTATTTGAAAGAAAAATCAGGAAGTAAATATATCAATACATTTTCAACAGTTATTTTATAGATTTCCTGCATTTTGTTAAATTACAGCTAATATGTAGTAAAATCAGATTCAATTTTTAAAATTTCTGTGTATTTAAGGATTGAAAATTTGTAATTTTTCAGATTTTTTTTTTTAAAGAGATTGTCCCTGTTTTTTTTTAAAGTACAGGTAATATATAGTAAACTCATAGAAAAAAGCATTAATTAACATGTTAACTGCAAAAAAAGTCAAAAACTATAAATAATAATGTAATTAAAAAGGATTGTTTTACAGGTTTTTGCCATCATATGAAAGAAAAATTATATATCAGGACTGAAAAATTGTAAATAATGTTTTAGGGGGAAAAAAAACTCTGGTTGGTTTGTATTTCTTTTGACCAATCACAGCTGTCGTGGGCGGAGCTAAGCCCAGGATGCAGCGCTGGTGTCCCTGCAGGGCAGCAACAGGGGGGAAACTGTTTTAATTCAACATTTGCACTCAGGAAAACGAGAACTGATATTGAAATCGTGGTAGCAGGACTTCTATACATCCCGATTGAGCTGCTCAGCGATGACAAACCACACCAGTAGGACGTCTCTTTAAACAGTACAGAGTCATTCTGCATTTTTATTATCAGCAAAAACAAACCACACACCACATTACAGTTTAAAAACAAGAACGCTTATTGGTGATGTACAGATAAACAAAACTGCAGCTGAAAAACTGAATCTTTTAGTCCTAATAATTGTAATAATAATAATAATAATAATAAAGGTATAAAAAAGGAAAGTGTTTCATCTCGTGAAATAAAAACTTTTAGGCCAAGAAAATGTTCCCCCTCAACATGCTACTTTAAAAATACATGCAAACGCAACGCTTTCTAGTATGGACACTTTCAAAATACTCTGAAATCCCATAAATTATAAAATATCAGCCTCTAGCCCCTGAACTGTTTCTTCAAAGAAAAATCCTATAGACACGAATCCCGGACGCCCATAATGGCTTCCTCTGCAGCTTTCAGTCCGCTGAGCCGGAAAACACCTGATCTGCTTGAACAAATCGACCGCTGACACCTGTCCAGCTCAGGTGGGAGAACAGAAATGCAAAGAGGGCGTCGCTTTAGACTCCATCGGCAAAGACAGACACATTTCTCTGGCGTCCGTCGACAGTGAAAACGCCTTTTGTACAACCGGATTCTGGGAAGAACATCAAAAACAGCACCATTTTTAAAATTTCCTGGATTCTCTCCAACGTGTCGGCCACGTTGTCTCAACACAAAAAGGTCTACAAAGTCATACATGGTAGCTAAGTCAAAAAAGTCTTTTTTGCTTGATTATAAGTTTATAATATACTCTTTATCGATGTTTTGTCTCCGTTGTTCGCATGCAAGACGGGTGCTTTGCAAGTGTTGTGTTAACATGAACCATTGCCCTGCTTTTGTCTTTGGCAGCTGAGGGTTTAGCGTCGACAGCAGGAGGAGAACGGCCGAGTGCAACATCAGGAACACGTCAAACTTTTATAAACTGCATCACCTCACAGCTCTGGTTTTATTTCTACGTTGAGCAGTCGAGTGTTTTCTCTTCTGAACATTAAAAAACTTCATAAAGACGATATTAAAACTTCAGGCCCCAAAGTAGAAACTCAAAGAACCAAACTGAGTCCAGC